CAGTGTTCCCACAGAGTTCTTATGAACTCTGTCTGGGCTCTTGTCATTAATGATCCTCTGTTCTTTCATCCATTGCTTGCTACAGAGAGTAGATAACCATAGAGGACCACAAAGTCGACTGTTCATGCCAACTTTCCTCCACTGATTACCACGAGATGATTAAAATAGCTTTGCTACATTCATAATCTATCAAATGGGTCTTTTAGAGTTCTAGACCCTTGGCACCCCATGGTATGTACTCAGTGTTGAACTAGATTCCAGTTCAACAGACCTTTTATATCCTAGTCTTTGTACTGGCAATGAAATTCCCTCAGAACATGGTGATGTATATCAATAATTCCAGGTTAAGGAACCAAAATCCTCAGTTCTAGGTCTACTTGGGCTGGCAGAGACTGGCAGAAGTGTGTTGGAATAGGGGGAAGAAATCCTATGAACTTTGAGAAAAGAAAAGCATTAACTGTTTCCATCCCTGATTCCCAGCCTTTGAAATTGGCTTTCTATTCTGGGATGATGTTGGGCAACATGTGAACCAGTAAGTCAAATCTTCATTATTTTTAAGAGCAAGCCACACCTTTTACTTATTTTTTTATTGAAAATCGATTCTTTCATAAATAATATCACTGAACATAGCTTCCCCTTCCTTCACTTCTCTTAGCTCCGTCCAACTCCCCTCTTGCCCAGATACACTCCCTCCATTCCCCTTCAGAAAAGAGCAAACTTCCAAGAGACAAGGACAAAACAAGATACAATAAGACAAGGCAACTTCCCTCACACTGTATATGGACAAGACAATTCAATAGAGGGAAAGTGATGGGAGATGTCATTCTGTATATGTTTCTCATACTGGTTAATAATAAAGCACTGTTGGCCAATAGGAAAGGAAGATAGGAGGGACTAGGAGACAAGGAGGAAATAGGAAGTAGGAAGGAGGAGTCAAGATGGAGAGTCTGAAGAAAGCAGTATGCCGCCGGCTCCCCGGTAAGAGAAATACATAGATCATCAGAAATGGGTTAATAATTAAGGCAGAGCTAGCCGATAAGAAACAAAATAAAATAAAAAAATAAAAAAATAAAAAGCTGTGGATTCCTTCCAGACTAATGTGGTTTGATCAAGCCAGGCCCCCTAAAACAGTCAATGATGATCCAACATTCAAAACAGCTTGGACAAAACAGCCTCGCAGACTACAGCCAAGATTTCTGCAACTTCTTAGGATCCCCATGACAGCGCCCCCTATCAGCATTAAGTAGTTTGGAAAGAACGACGCCCAAATTCCCAAATATTTATAAATGTTTGTTTTCATTTAAATGGACTTGGTTATAAATGGTTAAGGATCACAACCAATATCTTTTTAAAGGTAAAAAGTAAATTATGGTATAGATATGCATAGTTTGTTTTGGAATGGATTTTCATTTATTGATACAATTTAAGGTCAATTTTGTCATATGTATATTTCTCCTCTTGTTTGTATAGCTTATTTTGAAATGTAATGTATAATGTAGTACAGATTATAGATAATTACCTATGATAGTCAAAGCTTAGAGTTAAGTTAGTTAGGTTTTCAAGATACACAGAGATGTATTTGAGATAAATAGGCATTCTTCAAACCTTTCAAAGACCTACAGAATATGGCATTTAAAGTGGTTTAGGGTTTTTGTGACAGTGAGACATAATTGCTCTTGGCAATACCACCTGCACCAGAAAGGAAGATGGACATCAAAAAAATACATTATAAAGTTTGCTTCCAATATGGCAAGACTAGCCATTTGGACAAGATACTGCTCTGGTCTGGACTGTTTGACTTTGTGATGTATAAACTGGACATGCAGGACCCACAGGAAAGTGACTCCTGATTCAAGATGGACATTGCTACAGAGATCCTGCTTCATGGAAGAGTCTTCGAGACAGTGTACAGGACACGGAGAAAAGTGACTGACAAACTGCCAATAAAGAAGACAGTTTAAAGTTTTCTACATTGCTGAAGAGTCTGCCAGACACACTATGGCCTATGGGCTGAAGACGGAAGATTACAGAAGAACTTCAGGTGCCTGACAAGGCAAGATGTCTCTGTCATTTCTAGAGTTTATAGACTATCCTTCTGTGGTCTTTGAAGGAGTTGAAGACAGATAGTTATGGTTATAGTTTTCATTAGTATTAAAGATAAGTTACATAGACTTTAGACACACAAAGATAAGATAGATGATGGAATATTTTCTTCAAATCTTGCTAAATGTTAATGGACTAAATAGTGTTAACTGTGATTCTTATTTGATAACTGTTATGTGATATATTTTGCTATGTTAAGGTTAAAACCCTTGTTTTTGTTTAGACAGAAAAGAGGAGATGATGGGAGATGTCATTCTGTATATGTTTCTCATACTGGTTAATAATAAAGCACTGTTGGCCAATAGGAAAGGAAGATAGGAGGGACTAGGAGACAAGGAGGAAATAGGAAGTAGGAAGGAGGAGTCAAGATGGAGAGTCTGAAGAAAGCAGTATGCCGCCGGCTCCCCGGTAAGAGAAATACATAGATCATCAGAAATGGGTTAATAATTAAGGCAGAGCTAGCCGATAAGAAACAAGTAACTGGGCCAACAGTATTGTATCAAATACAGAGTCTCAGTGTGTTATTTGGGGCTAGCGCGGCGGCAGGACACGACCAGGCAGCGGCAGGCAGAAAAACCGTACTCGTTACAGGAAAGAGGCTGGTCTCTCTCCAAACTTGTATTTTTTTAATTAAAATTATTATTTAGGTCTTTGTGAATTTTGTACAATGTGTTTTAGTTTTATTTATTCCCCTCCCAGATCAACCACCCTTTTGTACCCACACAACTTTGTGTATGTTTTTAATACCATCAAATCCAATTTGTGCTGCCTTTACAAACTTGGACATGAGACCTTCCACTGGAGTGTGTTCAACTTATCAGGGACACCCTTAACAAAAACTGACTTTAATTCTTTTAACAGCTCCCAATGGTCAATAGTTTCTTAGTTAAAGGTGGATGATGTGGATAATGCCTGTTATGTCCCTTTAGGCTTGGGTCCTGAAACACTGGCTAGGGCCAGCAAAGAAAGGACATACACAGAGACACACATACAAGAAGCTGGCAGGTGGGATTCTCTCTGATCACTACCACTACAACCCAGAACCTCATGTTTCTGAGGTAAAATACATAGGGAAGGGTTAGCTACTCTCAGTAGGAGGTCTCTGTAGGTTAGTATTCTCAGGTTGGAGGAACAGGCTGTAATTGTTAGTCTTTGCACACACTGATCAATCCCTCATAAAGTGTCATTCAGGTTTCTGAGGAAAGCTTTCCAATCTTTCTTGAACCTGGCCTACACTGGTAATGTCTTTGCCAATTTACCATGGACCAATTGGTGTCAGAGTCCTTGCTTGACTGCCCTTGTTTATGTCAAAACACACATTCACCCAGGATTTCACTCCATGCTTCCTCCATTCCTTCAGGAACCCACCTCTGCTGTTCTGTACTTTTGTCTTGGCCTGAGCCTGCTACCTCTTCTCACTGCCATGAATGCATATGTGCAATCACCCTGCTCTATTCAAAAATCACTGTTTCCTTGTAGTCATCTATAAGACAGTTGTACTAGGAAGCTGTTCAGGGTTTTGTTTGTTTGCTTTTGTTTGTTTGTTTGTTTTGTTTTTCTCAGCCTGTCAATTCAGGTCTAATCCCCATGTTTATAATCTGTGCTGATAGCCAACTTGAAACTAATTATGTAATGAGATATGGTCATGCAAGTCAAACTCCTACTGCTAACCATAGGGATTAAAAATACTGCAACATCATAAAACCTGGGTAGACCACAGTATTGGTATGAGAATCTAGCCAAGTAACATATTTTTTTTAATTAGTTTTGTCTTTTTCTGTTAATCCCTGTCTCTAAAGTCATCAGGAGACTGAAGCAGGACATTAGGTGTGTTGAGGCTGTCCTAGCAACACAGATATCTCTAGGATAGCCTGACATATATATCGAAAAACTATCTGAAAAGAAAAAAGTATTTACTTACTTCTGTTTGATACTGTAGATTGATGGTAGAGGAGTTCTCTCCCCATCACTGAAAACAAGCTCCAAATTAAAGATTTACAAGTTTTCTAAAGCTGTTGGAGTTGTTTGGTTTTTGAGACAAATTCTAAGTATGCAATCCTGGCTAGTCTAGAATTCACAGAGATATCCCTGCCCCTGATTCATAGTCCCAGTCCTGAAACTGTCTTCTAAAGTATAATTTACATACACATACATCAAAAAAAATCTATAAACTAAGTACCAAATTAATATTTTTGTAATATACATGAACTAATATATACTTTTTGTTAAAGAAGGAATACACTATATCCCTCATTTTGGGTGGTTACCAGAAGCAATGACTGTTATAATTTCTGAAGTTAGATTTTTTTTAATTAATAAATTCAGTGGATATTTTAAGTAATACTTTTTATCCTTGTTCTATATCTGGCACAATAAATTATTCTGGAAGCTTTCTAATTAAGTTTAAAAAGTGAGACTGTGGACTCATTTGAGAGTTCAAATAAATAAACCATGCATGAATCGATTGTATCTTGGTGAGAATGGATTTTTAACACACAGCCCAATTCAATATGGGGTTCAATGAAAATACCATCTTGTCTAGATTCAGCATCTGCTCCTGAACCTTTTTGCTTTGAAATTGCAGTCATTCAAAATCACCTCTATTTTATTTAAATTTTGAGTAAGATGCGTCTTACCCAAGTAGATGCTTTTAAGGGATGTTAAGAGGCAATTCAACTGTTAAGCTGTGTCTGAGACTAATATTAATTAAAATGTGATTTAACATTCTGTGTTATTGTCCAAAATAAAAATTTAAACTGTCCTTGATTAGAAGTCATGGCATATTATCAATGCTTAATTAAAACTGTGCCTCATTCATATTCTCCTTCCCCCTTTCCTGTCTCTCTCTCATTTCTTTCCATCCAACTGTCCTCATATTATTATATTACATGTTTTAGCCACAGTCTTCCTTGAGTTTTGGAAAAGAAGAAGAAGTATACTGACCTACGCTTGGGACCTTATTGAATGGGAAGAAGAGGAGGTAAGATATAAGAACAGAAGAAGTTAAGGAATCTGGGGGATCAATGCACAGAGCAGGATCAGATGCACATCATTATATTACACTGACAAGATTCCTCACTTCATGAAGCTAACAGGGGTCAAGGGTCAAGCATATATTGTTAAAACTATTTCTATGTTTTCTTAGAGTGTATCCAAAGAAAAATGTGTTAAGTAAAATACACCCAGAGGTTTACTTGGATTATAATTGGCCTTGTTCTTTAAAAAGTTGTATCTTTGAGCAAACAACACAAAAGCTGGCTATGTTTAAGAGTTCATATTAACTCTTAAAAGTTTTTTTTTTTTTTTGTTTTAATTTGTGGTCTTGCTATTTTATCTGGGTAACCTTAGTTTCTCCCATAGGAAACACTTCGCCCCCAATTTGAAGCAAAATATTACAGGATGGAGGTGATAAACCCCATCACAGGAAAACCTGAGCCTCATCAACCTTCATCTGACAAAGTCACACGTCTTCTTGTATCTGTCTCAGGAATCTTCTTCATGGTAAAATATTGTCATCTACATGAGAAAGCTGTGGGGCTGCAGGTTTAGAAAGATAGTCCAGCATGCCAGCTCATCTTGTTCTCCTAAGAATGCAAAAGTTTGCCTGCTGTTCCCCTGAGGCAGGCAAGACTCTTCCTGTCTCTCATTTCTCTTCTGTCCTCTATTGATGTGTCTTAGTGTCTCTTTACCTCTTTTTCTCTTTCTTCCTCCTCATCCCCCTTCCCTTTCTAATAAAACTTCTCAAAAAAAAAAAAAAAAAAAAAAAAAAAAGAAGAAGAAGAAGAAAGAAAGAAAGGAAGGAAGAAAGAAATGTATTCTTTTCAGTATCACACACACCACATTACATATATGTGGACACCATAGCCAGTTTGTGACATTTTATTAGAGCATCTCTTTTTAATGAAACACTTATTGGAAGAATAGTTAAGTGGAAATTCTGAGAGTGAAATATCTCCTTAAAACCAAGCAGTCTATATGAAAGAAGAACTTTGGACAGAATTTGCACTTTAGTGTAATAATTGTTCTCTATACTAAAATAATGCAAATATTTCTTGTTTTAGTTTCAGTTTCTTTTATTCCCTAATTTACTTATTTCATTATATACAGGCCCTGGGTGCTCTAGCAATGAGTTACTATTTATTCATTTAATATAACAGATAAAGTGTGTGCTTGCAAATGTAATGCTTAAATCTAGCTAACTAGATTCGCATGTTTAAGCTTAAATAATAAATTGTTTTATAATTCTAGTTTAACTTTCTCCCTTAAAGGAGACAATATCATTTACATATCCTTTCCCAGAAAAATAGATACCTTCAACTTTTGGAGTATTATTGGGTGGTTTGCTTGTCATACTTTAGTAACACAAAAGACAAGGTGTCCTCTCTGCTCCCCCACCATACAGATCTCCTTGGTCATCACAGCAGTGTTTGCAGTTGTAGTATACCGCCTGGTTGTCATGGAACAGTTTGCATCATTCAAGTGGAATTTCATCAAACAGCACTGGCAGTTTGCTACATCGGCTGCTGCTGTCTGTATCAATTTCATAATCATCATGCTGCTGAATCTTGTAAGTGTTCATGGATAATTTTTAAATAGGCACTAAGACAGTGAGAAAAGTGGTGTGTGTGTGTGTGTGTGTGTGTGTGTGTGTGTTTACATATATTTTTCTGTTCCAAACAGCTCATTTTAACAAGAAGTAGTTCATCCAGCTTTGTTTATTCATTGGATTTTTTATTTTTTTGAGGCAGGTCTCACATAGTGAGAAAAAGTTTATCTGAACCATTTTTCTTCTTTAAAATATTTTGTACCATGTGTCTATTTTGGATAAAGGCCTAATGTACTTTTTATTTACACAAAGCAAAGACTAAAGTCACTAAAGTGAATGTCTACCTGGGAAGACCTCAGAAGATAGCTAAGGATAACCCTAATTCAGCTATCAAGTCACTCATTCTAACAGCCTTACAGTCTTACCACCTCTACTCAGTGACTCTGATGCATAAGTCTTTTTAATACTGCAAATGAAATACCCAGAGCTAGGAGAACTCAGGCTCAACAAGTTTTCTCCATTCTCATATCTTCGTTAGACATTTTTTGCATTGATATTAGAAGATTATTATATTACGAATTCTTCTTCCCTCTTACAACTATCATGCAGAAGATTTTTGAGTGGGTTTAGCATAAGCAATGTAAGTATACAGCCAATTCAACCAGTGTGAAAATAACTTTATATTCTTCAGAGTCAATCAGTTAATAATGCTCTTCAGAAATTACTTATTTGCTTCCTATCCAAAATATTAAGGTACTTCACAAACTATTAGAAACTTTAATTCACATGAATATACAGGATTAATTTGAGAGCTTAAAAAATAAGAACACAATAAAATGTCAAATATTATATTATCAAAATGTTCATCTATCTTGTTATTTTCAGGTTAAATTCAATACTCATGTTTAAAATGTGCTTATGAAGGACTGAGCCTAAGTAAAAAATATTCTTTTAGTCTAATGTGCTTTTCAGCTCTAATCTGAATGCATTAAGTTATGAAATGTAGGCATGGAAAAATACTTTAATTCATCAAGCATTTGTCTTTAAATCAGGAGTCTTCTAGGCTCTCAGGAAATATAAGGTATTACACAAATCATGTGCTATTCTAGTGCATTATTTTCTTTTTTATCCTATTTCTGATTTCCTGTGAATTTTGTTTCTGAATCTTCATTATCCCGGCTCTGCTGATTATCCTATCTACAGTTTTTGCTTAGCAATAGGCACCTAACAACTCAGTCTTCCTGTGTCTTTCTCAGACTTTCTCTCACTGGCCACAGACAAAGAAGCTGAAAGAGTCTGTGTCAATTACATATTTGAACATTTCTTTTTTTACCTGAGATTGTTTAATGAACTTCATTCCCTCCAATGTAAATTATAAATTCTTTAGCTTAATAAATGAGACACTGCTTTATTTAAGCCTGTTTTTCCTTTCTCTTGTCTAAAGCTGCCCCTCCTCTGCCCCTTTCACCCGTCTCCCCTCCCTACCTCCCCCGCCCTCTTGTCTGCATTTCATCATGAAGAACCACTTTCTCTGGTCCTGTACTCTGTTAATTCACACCCCCAGTTTCTTGATTCACAGAGCTTTCTCTGTCTGAAATGTTCTTTTTTCCTTTTGTATCCTTGGAGAATATCTCTTCATCGCTGAAAATAGCAGTTAAGGATCACTTCCTCCATACAGTTTTTCTAGGTCCCATATGTAGAACAGAATTACATCTTTGTTTTTATTTTTGTCATGAGGTTCTTGAACTGCCTTTTGTTCCCATCAATGGAAGTCCTGGAAGAATTAAACACTATCTTTGTGAACATTCTTTTGTTGCTTGTCTTAATACATTTCTCCTACTGTTAAAATGTTGAGTTTACTTAGCCAAGGGCATGGCTTCCTCTTCTTGTTGTTTGTTGATATGTTTTAATCTAGGTCCACATGTCTTATTTTTTTTTAATGTTTGTACATTTAAAATATATCATTTGAGTAAATTGTATTTTACTTTTCAATGTTGTAGTATCCTGTATATTATGTGACCAAGTTAATTTTTGTTGCTAAAATTATATTCTTAGTGTTTTTCCAGTATGTAGCTATATTTTAATTTAAACTTAAACTAAACCAAAAGCTGTACTTTCCCAAATGCATGCACAGTTTGAAATATATATATATATCATGACATGTCTAAATAAATATTCAATTGAGGAAAAGCAGTGCATTCTACTGCAATTAAAATTTAAACATATTTTTATTATATTGATCATGAAAGTAATTTTAACAGCATATGCCATTCAAACTATGTATCAAATTGTCTTCAGTAGCTCCTTTGTGGAGCTAAGAAAACTGTATCACAAACAAAACACTCTAAAATTCTTTGCTGATTCTGATCCAGTCAGTCCCTAAAACCACTAATTTGTGTCATTTAAAATAATAGTGATACACAGCCAAGATGAGAAAATTCATCTTCAAGAAATAGATCACAAATAATTCAAACACAATTAAATTTTCAATTTCTTCCTTTAACATTCACTTGCCAAAAATGCATCTTAAAAATCTAGGAGGACAGAACTTGAAGAAACAGTTGCTTCCTAGACCCCCCCCCCCTTTCTGACTTTGTTAGACTTTGACTCTATCCATGTTGCTGTAGATACCATAGTTCGTATTACATCTGCAAAGTATTGTGAGGAAAATAAAAATGTGAAAATTCTCCCAAAAATATATACTTTTGCTACTTAATTTTGTCATATTATAGTAAAATAATAGCTGCTTGGCACTGTAAATAAAGAGTAACTCTTAAATAAAAACACAAAAGAAAGAAAGGGAAAAAGAGAGAGGGGGATAGAGAAAGAAAGGGAGGAAGGAAGGGCTAAGCAGATGCCCTCTTGTGCTTTGAAAGTTCCAGGAGTAAGTCACCCAAACCTTTACTACAAAGTCATTCAAAGAATGATCTCCTTTGAGTATTTATGTGATTATAAATGTGTTTAATAGACAGAGAATATAATACTGGGGTAGGGGGCTCTAATACATTAGCTAATGTAAATCATCTATGTTAGTTCTGTTGTCCACTCCATCTTGAACATCTACCTGTAGAAATCAGAGCATTCATTACTATGTTTCCTTCCAAAGATCCAATCACTTCAATGGAAATCCTAAAATATACATTTATCTTTCCTGAATGGCTAGGTATCTCATCACCAATGGTATAAAATATGTTATTATAGATTTGAGTGGATCAAAGATTTGGGCCACACCTCTTAACTAGGAAAGTAATTCAGGCCAAATGATTCATTTAGTAAAAGATTTTACTTTTTAAAAAACAATGTGCTTGTTTGATGTGCTCATGTCCATGCTAAAGGTTTCTAGGAGTCTGGAAGTAATAGATACTAGAAGACAAGTCTCTTAGACTCTGCAGGCTAGTCTGTATAGAATTAATATTCACAGTGGAGTCTGGGCAGTCATGCTCTGATGCAGAGACAACATGCACTATAACACACAAAACTCCCTGTTCTGCCCTTCCTGCATTTGCTGCTCTTTTCTTCCCAGTTTATTTTTACATAATGAACCACTACAGCATTAGTAGAACGCTTATTCCTTCTAAGCTCAGAATGAATTCTAAAGTGATTGTCATGGTCAAAAATGCCCTGGAAACTGGTTTCTCTTCAGGATTACTCTGGCTTAACAATTACTGATTTTCTCTACTGTTTCTGCCACTCCTGACCAAAGTCTATGTCCATTGTTATGAGACTATCAGTCTCAGAAGCTGTGCATTCTTCTTCATGTTCCCAAGCTATTTACCCAGTCCACATTTTTGCTTGAAAATCTTTCTTGCTACTGAAGGAAGTGTCCTGTTTTCCAAAAGGATTTTCTACTGGACATTTTTAAACATATTTGTTTTAGTTTTGGTTTTCAAGACAGAGTTTCTCTGTGTAGCTTTGGCTGTCCTGGAACAAACTCTGTAGACCAAGCTGGTCTTGAACTCACAGAAAATCTGCTTACTATATGTAACATGTAACTTTAGAAGCTCTCCAGTGTGGTATCCTGTGTACTATGTAGGGATTAGAATCAGAATGGTTGTCTGTGATCCTGTTTGTCTTTTCCTTCCCGAGTTATATAGCCATTTCATTGCATGTAGTCAAATTCACACACAATCTTCTCTCTCAACACAGTTGCTGCTATATTCCATACATTTGAATGTGTTTAACTCAGGGGTTCTTCCTGCTTTTATAGTTAGATTTAACATTTTGTGTACTGATTGTAGAATATAGCATATGGGTGGTACCAATTAGTCATTTGGGTCTTAAATATTCAGGGTCTTAACTAACCTGGATAAGTTTCAAACAACTATTTTTAACTATCTTCCAAATGTTACTGTCATCTCTTTGGGCATCCACCTAAAGATATTTCATCACAGAATTGTAGACAGGCTCTATATACCAAGTACTAAGACAATGAATAAATGGTAAAAGGTGTTTATAAAAGAACATCCTTACTTCTTACCATTCTTCTTACTTAGTATTTTATTCTACCAGGCCGTGTGCTCAGAATTCTCAGTTTTGATCCCCTGTGGGATCAAAAGTATTGTGGGATTATTATACTCACTTGGCAAAATCGTTGTGTGTAATTAAAGTACTGGCACAGGTGAAATACTGTAAATGGCAACTATTTCAACAGAATTGGTTTTCAGTCTGTATGAGGACATTCAATACTGACAAACAGTGGCTGGTCAAGTTATTCATAAGCTGATAAAGTCCATCCTACTAAAATTCTGACTCATAATGGGGGCATGAAAAAGAGCATTTTTTATGAAAATAACATGGGCTTACAAAATCAAAGTGATCCTGTTTAAAATTTGCAAATGTTAGGTCATAAGTAGAAATAAAATAAGTCCAAACTGCTGCACGAGAGAGAGAAGAATGTTTACTTAATATACTCTGTCTCAAGAGGGTCTTGGACTTAAAAAGAGGTACATTCAGATCATGGCTAATATGAAATAGCAATAGTTTTATTGAAAGAGTAGTCAGAGAATATGGAAAATTCTTTAAGTATTTAGATACATTTCTTGAATTTTTAATATTTTGGTATGGCTATTGTTTTTTGTCCTAATTTACTTTAAGTATATATACATGTGTCTGGGTATGTGTATGACACATGTGTATGGGCACCTGATCATGCCAGAAGAAGGTATCAGATCCCCTAAGGTTGGAGTGGGAGACAGATTTAAGTCCTATCTCAGCAATTAGCTAACTGAATGAATTTTGGCAATTTTTCTCTTAGTTTAGGGGGCAAGTATTCAATGTAAATAAAGATGGTCGAAAAGATTTATTTTGCAGGTAATAAGGTGTCCACATGTATACATATACATGTTTCTAAGCTCATTCATAGTTCAGCAATTTTGTGTGTATTCACACACACTACATAGTGTGTGTGTGTTAATAAATATGTTTCCTTTGCTAAAAATGTGTCCTTTCATAGACACACTTTAAATACTTCTTTGAAGAAGGTAAATTCTAGCACTATATAAAATAGAATATTTATCTGTATACTCCTTTGCAGGCTTATGAAAAAAATTGCGTACCTCCTCACTAACTTAGGTAAGTTCATTTCCTTTATTTTGCTTGTAATGACTGAATAACTATGTGCACATAGTTTTGTGTGTTCTATCATTTTTATGTCTTCAGTTAAACAAAGATGTGCAAATTAACTACAGAGAGGTGCGGCTGGAAATTGATCTACATTAGACAGCACAAAGAGGCAATGTATGTCATCAGAAAGTATTCATTAGGTAGCTAGGATACTTATTTATCATTACTTGGAAATTTTTTCCCCAGATTTCTCAGTTCTTCACCCAGCTCCATGTGTATGTGATGTGTGTGTGTGTGTGTGTATGTGGGGGTGTCACAAACACACTTAAACCTGTGTATGGAGGTGAGTGGAAAACTTGAAGGAAACGATTTGATTCTTTCCTTCCATCAAGCAGAGTTTAGGCTCTGGAGTGAGAATGCATGAGTTGAAATATGTGTTCTACATCATTTTCTAGTTAGGTAGAAGGTAGTGAAAATAGCTTTGCTTCTTTTTTTCAGAACATTTTTTATATTTTTAATATTTGTGTTATTTTACATATCGATCCCAGTTCCATCTACCACTCATCCTCCCATGCCCCTTACTGAACCCTCATCCCATCCCACATCAATTCCCAGGGAGGGTGGGGCCTTCAATGAGGGATCATCAAACCCTGTCAAGTAATTTGGAGTGGGAGCCTAGGCCCTCCTCCATGTCTCTAGGCTAAGGGATATTCCTCTATTGTGAATGGGCTCTTGGAGTCTGTTCCTGAACTAGGGATACATCTTGGTTCCATTGTCAGATATACCACAGATTTCCAAGGCCTCCTAACTGAGACCCACATTCAGAGGGTCTGGGTCAGTCTTATGCTGGTTTCCCATTAATCAATCTGGGGTCCATGAGCTCCCCCATGTTCAAGTCAGCAGCTTCTGCGGGTTTCTCCAGACTGGTGTTGACCCCTTTTATTACTACTTCTTCCTTTCTGCAACTTGATTCCAGGAGTTCAGCTCAGTGTTCAGCTGTGGGTGTCTGCCTCTGCTTCCATCATCTACTGGATGATGGCTCTAGGATGGCATATGAGGTAGTCATCAATCTCATTATCAAGAAATGGCCATTAAAGTCGCCTCTCCATTACTGCTTAGATTGTTAGTTGGGGTCATCCTTGTAGGTCTCTGGACATTTCCCTAGTTTGATATTTTTCTTTAAACCTATAATGTCCCCTCTATTATGGTATCTCTTTTCATGTTCTTTTCTGTTCTTCCCCTGACTCAATTTTCATGTTCTCTCATGTTCTCCTCTCCCCTCCTCTTCTTCCTTTCTCTATCTCCTAACATCTTCTCCTCTCCTCATCTGCCTTCTACCAATTTGCTGAGGAGATCTTTCTGTGAGAGACCCTTCTGTGATAGACCATACATGTCTCCCTTAGGGTCCTCCTTGTATCCTAATTCTCTGGCAGTGTGGATTGTAGGCAGTTGATCTTTTGTTCTAAATGTAAAATCCATATATGAGTGAGTACATAACAAGTTCCTGGGTTACCTCACTTGGGATAATTTCTTCTAGTTCCATCTATTTGCTTGTGAATTTCAAGATTCCATTGTTTTTTTTGTTGATTGTTTATTTGTTTGTTTTCCCCTGCTGAGTAGTCCTCCATTGTGTAAATGTACCACCACATTTTTTTTTTTATCCATTCTTCAGTCCAGTTTCTGGCTATTAGAAATAATGCTGCTATGAATATAGTTGAACAGATGTATTTGTTGCAAGAATGTGCATCTTTGGGTATATGTCTAAGAGTGGAATTGCTGGATCTTGTGGTAGACTGATTCCCATTTTCCTGATGAACTGCCATACTGATTAGTGCCTGAGTTAATGACATTATATCAGAAAGTCATCTCCCGTGTCAGCGAATTCAAGACAACTCCCCACTTTATCTTCTGTCAGATTCAATGAACCTGGTTTTATGTTTAGGTTTCTGATCCATTGAAGTTGAGTTTTTTGCAGGGTGACAGATATGGATCTGTTTGCATTATACCACATGCAAAAATCCAATTATATCAGCACTGCTTGTTAAATATGTGGTCTTTTTTTTCCAATGTGTATTTTTGGCAAGTATGTGAAAAATAAGAAAATTTCCACTCTTCCTTGGAATATATATAGACAAGTGCATCTATTCTGGAATTATGTTTAGGATTTCAAAAAATATTCCACTAATATCACTTCTGGGCTTATACTTACAGGACTGTACATTTTTAGAAAGATAGTTATACATCTCTGTTTATAATTGCTATTTTCATACAGAAAGTAAAATGTAATTATAGATGTCCATTAACAAATAAGTGGATTATGAAAATAAAGCACTTACAATAAGATTTTATTCAAACATGAAGAAAAATAAAATTTCAGGAAATAAAACTAGCTGAACCTAGAATTCATATTGGGATAATATAGGCTCAGAAAGACAATTGTTATATCCTCTCTCATTTTTGAATCCTAACATCTAACTATTGAATATATCTAGATGAGAGTATACATGGATAAAGGCAAAGAAGCTAAAATCGGATCCACATTACAATTAAAAAAATAATAGACTTTTGCTGCTTGAGTGGTCCTGCCCTAGCATGCCAGACCATCAGGAGCCTGCCTTCCCTCATCCTTGGCCCTGTTGGGCCCTCTGTTTGGAGTGAGTGTTTCGGCAGCTGGTCCAACACCCCAACCCTCTCCTTGGAACTTCCTGGGTTGGCTCTCCTTATAGTGGACCAGCCCCGCCAACCAGGACCCCACCTGACCCTTGGTTCCCCTTCACCCTTTGTTCTAGGTGAGTCTGGGGCCAGCTCATGTGCAACCCCCACCTCAATCCTATTCTTGGAACTTCCAGAGTCGGCTCTGCATCTTGACTACCCCTATGCTATCTGCTTGAATGGTCTTGCCCTGAGAAGTGGGAACATCTGGAGCCTGTCCTCCCTGCATCCTTTTCCCTGCTGTGCCCTCTGCTTGAGAGACCTCCAGGAGAGCTACAATCATCCAGTGATACTGACATCGAAGTCATGACCCACTTACAACCACCAGGAGAGGAGAGAGACCCCACCTGCACCCACTGGAAGAAGTGATAGGAAGACAGCAGTACAAGAAAAACATTCAACAATAGAAAGACCAATATGACAACACCAGAATCTAGGGACTCTACATCAACTAGATCTATACACACCAAAGCAGATGAAGCAGAAGAGAATGACCTAAAAAACAACTTCATGAAAATGATAAAGTCACTCAGAGATGATATGAGAAAATCCCTTAAAGAAATGGAAGAAAAAACAAACAAACAAAAAATTGGAAGAAATAGAGGAATAGAGGAAAAGACAAAGCAAAAAAAAAAAAAAAAAAAAAAAAAAAAAAAACCAATGCAAGGAAAACCAAGAAAAATCAATAAAACAATCAAAGAGGTGAAGGAAACAATTCAAAAGTTAGTTCAAGTAGAGACAATAAAGAAAACACAAACACAAAGTGAGGGAATGCTGGAAATAGAAAAACTGGGTAAATGATCAGGAATTACAGATGCAAGTATAACCAACAGAATACAAGAGATCGAAGAATCTCAGGTGCTTAAGATAAACTAGAGTAAATAGATTCATCGACCAAAGAAAAATCTTAAATCCTACCTATCCTTAACATAAAATATCCAGGAAATGTGGGACACCGTGAAAAGGCCAAATCTAAGAATAATATGTATAGAAAAAGGAAAGAAGCCCAGCTCAAAGGTACAAAAAACATATTCAACAAAATCATTGAAGAAAACTTTCCCAACCTGAAGAGGGGCATGCTTATGAAAGTACAAGAAGCATACCAAACACAAAATAGAATGGACCAAAAAAGAAAAAAAAAGACCCCTCGTCACATAATAATCAAAACACTAAACATACAGAATAAAGAAATATTAAGAGCAACAAATGAAAAAAGGCAATGTAACATAAGGTAACATATAAAGGCAGATCTATCAAAATTACACCTGATTTCTCCTTGGAAACTCTCAAGGTCAGACGGTCCTGAATAGATGATCTACAAACACTAAGAGTCTATGGATACCAGCCCAGACTACTACACCCAGCAAAACTCTCAATTACTATAGATGGAGAAAACAAGATATTCCATAACAAAACCAGATTTACACATTACATATACACAAATCCAGCCCTACACAAAGTTCTGGAAGGAAAACTCCAACCCAAGGAAATTAACTACACTCATGAAAACATACACAATAGATAGTCCCTCTTTACCAGAACCCAAAAGAAAAAGTGGAGCAAATCTGCTCACAATTCCACTGACAACAACAAATCCAAAACAAACAAGCTGGCCAGGAATTTTAAAGATCTGCCTGCTTCTGCTTTCAGGTGTAGGGATTAAAGGCATGCACTACCACATGGTGAGGATAGTATTTTCTAAGAATGTCATTTAGTATTATTGTGACATATATTAGTTTTGACCCACAAGTCCTGAAGAAAAAAAAAATCAGTTAACCTCTAGGAAGTCTACTTCCTTTTGGAGGATATTAAGTTTCATTTCTATATGTTTCTTCCTTTTATCTCTATGTTTTGATGTCTTTTGTAGAAGACTTTTCTGAAGTACTGGGTAAATAATAACTCTCAGTCACTTGAAGTTTTGCCTACATTTGTTTAGTGCATGTGTGCATGTCTGAAAACTCCTTTCACACTCAGTTTTTGGCTCCTACAATGTGGTCTCTAGGAATTGAACTAAGGTGTCTGGTTTGACAATAAGCACAACACAACAAAACAAAAACAATGCATGTAGGACACCTTGTGTTCGCATTGTGTATTGGTTACCAGCCCTATAGAATGGAAAAGATTCTGTGCTATGCTGAAACAATCCCAACTGTTAGAATTTTAGATAGGGTCTCAGATTTGGCAATTTCCATTCAGAGACATGTTTACATCTGTTTGGCCCACCTTATTGTCTGCTGACTCTGAAAAATAGCTATGGCTTTCAGAATACACATACAATAACTATATATATATGTGTGTGTGTGTGTGTGTGTGTGTGTGTGTGGGTGTGTGTGTGTGTGTGTGTATATATACAGTATCTCCCATAGGGTCTTCCAAGTCATATCTTTATTTGTACTTTATAGTACTTCTGCTACTTCTACCTCTCTGTGAACTAATAAACATGTCTCAGCACTCTTTTCAGGAATTGCCATTTTTCAATCAGTAGCTCCATGCTCAGATTTTGATTTCAACCTCGGCTAATGTAGTTCATTATTTGATTCCAATTAGTTTTCACTTCCTAGGAAGAGACTTCTCCCATCTTTTGGCTTCTTTGTCCTAGTCTCATTAGTTTTTATGCTTCCATATTAATACCTATTTGAATATTTAGTTTGTGGGGATTAAGAAAGGATCCACCTGAATACACATATATTGCAAATACTTAAAGAAAAAAAGGAAAGAAAAAGAAAGGCAAAAGAAAGAATGTGAAGGAGAGAATTTCATTTTCTGACATTTTGGTTGCGAGAATAGCCTTTAATGACTGAACAATCTCTCCAGTCCAAGGTTTATTTCTTAAACAGTTTTATAATAATAGATTTTTTTCCTTCAAAATGAACAAAAGCTATATTCCAAGATTCTGTCTTGCCAATGACTACAACTAGGAGAGAAACACTGGTAAAGTGTTTTTGTTTATTTAGGGTTTTGTTTTGTTTTGTTTTTGGGATAGGGTCTCACTATCTAGCATTGCCTGCCTATGTAAATCAGTTTGGCCTTAAACTCACAAATATCTACCTGGTCCTGCCTCCAGGTACTGGAATTAAAAGCGTATGCTAGACTTGGTTCTTTTCTTCTTAGTGATTTTTTTAAAATGTGTTTTTGTACTTGAAATTTTTGAGTAATACTTCCCATTTCATCATTGCAGACGAACTGTCCAACACACTGCAGAGTGTGCCTTAAGTGTGACTTATCTGTTTCTCTTTCACGGTTGGATAATAAAGAACTTGAACTGAATTATCAAAAACTTTTTTATAAATTGTTTGAGAGCTCTCTTCCTTCCCTGATACCTATGTTGATAAGATATTCTATCTCTAGAAGAGAGGAATTTACAAGAAAGATGGCCAAGAGTATGTGGGGGGAGGTGATATAATTAATAGGTAAAAGAGTAGCTATTTGTTCTAAGTGGCAATAATGTAAAATTTTAACTTAGTATTTGAAATTTTTCACATATGAAATCCCAATGATGGCATAGTTTCTGTTGATCCATAGTTCACAATTAATAATGATGGCTAATTTGACATTTCTTTGTGTAATAAAATCAGACTGTATGTTTGCATGTACTTATTTCTTATATTCTTTGTCTAAGCTAATATATATTTCAGATTAGATGTTAGATGCTATTTACCAAAGAGACAGGATGTTTTTGGTTTTGTTTCTTGGACTTTTCCAAATATTTTATTTTCAGAAGCAACAACAACAACAACAAAAAAGGTTCAAAGTTTCAGTTCACACTTTGTAAAGATGGGAATAAATATCCATTACTCCAAAATGGGATTTATTTCACTTTTTTATTTTAGGGTTTTGGTTACTGAGAATTGTATCAAGATGATTGTCAGCTGTTTACAAAAAAATAAACAATTACCATGATAATGAGTGCCCTTGATTACACAAATCCAGATTCTGGGAAACAAAGTTGGCCAAGTCGTGAAAGTATAGGCTTCATCAGAAGTCAAACTGAGTCATATCATTACCATCTTAAAACTCAGAAACCATCTAAGGCACACGAAATATAATTTTAAAGTAAATTAACATTTTAATTAACCTCATTTGTGACTGGTGATGATGCAAATACCTTGCTTATCAGCAGTAGCTAGTTTATTATCAGCATCTAGATGCATTAAGGTAAAGCTAAGAAATAATTGGGCCATAATGCATTATTCTAGAAAACAATATTATATTCCAAAGTTTAGAATTCACTTTCCTCTCCAAGTTAAATGATCATTGAAAAAGAGCCATAATTTTTTCATGAAACGTGTTATAAAATTATTGTTTTGTTACTTATAGTAGAGAACCTGAGTTAATATGAGAAACTGTTATTATTAAAGTAAGCTCTTCTTGCTATACTTATTGATTCATGGCATCTTATTCCAAACTTAGTAGCACAGGATAATATTTTCTTTGGTTTATAAGGAACTATAACCAGATTAACTTGCTAGGCAGTTTTCCTGCTCTTGATATAGAGATGTTAACAATGGTCTCTTCACTCACATGCTAAACCTCATGTTGGGTTTTTGGGATGGCTAATCTCTTCCATTGACTTCATCTCTCTCCATGTCCAGTCTTGGATGTCTGTCTTGAGCTTGTCTGTAATAGTAAAATAGCATTTCTTACATGACTTCTAGCTTGTGAGACAAGACACACATGTAGAAGCTCTTATGCTCCTTTATTTCATCTTTCTAGTTTCATGTTGGTAAGATTGCGGTACATTGCTCAAGTTCAAAGTCAACATCAGAGGCAATTGTATCAGGTCTTATGTAGATACTTGAAGAAATAATCCACAGGGGATTAGTATAAAGATCTATCCTGAGAAATCTTCATGACAGAAAAACTGTAATCTTGCTCAGAATATATAAAAAATGGAATAGCACATGTTGAATCCACCTCATTTCTCAGAATGATTTACCCAATTAAGTCTTAGCAGTCTAGACATTTTTTCATTCAAAATGTAACCTATATGGAACTTTTATTGACCCAAATGGATTTTTCCACACCTTACTCTTCCTATAATGGCTTATGATTATTTGTTTTGTAACCTATATGTTCTCTTTTGCTTTTCATTGCAAGACTGAAAAGTGTTAATGATGAAACACTGAGTTTTTTTTGTCCACTTCATATATGTCAATAGTTTCTGTTTCTTATAGAATATCCTCGAACAGAATCAGAATGGGAAAACAGCTTTGCCTTGAAGATGTTCCTTTTCCAATTTGTCAATCTGAACAGTTCTATCTTCTATATTGCATTTTTTTTGGGAAGGTGAGTTAACTTTAAATATCCTGTCATTACCAGGAAGAAAACAAAGCAGAAACATCTCAACTGCCAATTAGGTAACAGAAGTGGAGAATTCTTAAACTCTACCTTAGACTATTATGTAATAGGCCAGGTGGCACGTGCTTTAATCCCAGCACTCAGGAGGCAGAGTTTGAGACCAACCTGATCTACAAGAGGTAGATCCAGGATAGGCTCCAAAGCCACAGAGAAACTCTGTCTCAAAAAACCAAAAACAAAACAAAAGAATATTATGTAATAGATTTTACATGTATTCTTTCTTACTTATGTAATCTCTGACAGCTACTACCACACACACACACACACACACACACACACACACACACACACACAAGAGAGAGAGAGAGACAGAGACACAGAGAAAATACCACCTACAAATTATCATCTAATTATTACTAATTATTTTGTTTAGAGAAAAATAGCTATGATTTCTTGATGTGTAAACCAAGATTTTTACTTTTCCTTCTTTGATCTAAAATTTGAGAAAATAAAATGTAAAATATTAAGGAGCACAGTTTGCTATTTGGTTAACCCTTCATCCACATGGTGCCATGGGAACACTCAGAAATCAGAAACATTTTGAACAAAACCATTCAGTATGCTATGATGATATTCATTAATCTGGCCCACACATTATTAAAATTCTACATGGAACAAAGTATTAAATATCACCAGCTTGATGTATCTACACTTTCTCTACTCACTGGTACTGAGTTCATGCATCACTTTCTTGCTCTTAAAGTCAGTTACTTTGATGTTGTTTAAGCATAGCAAATATCAATTGTATGGGACAAATTGCACCAGTGAACAATTATGTCTACCCACACAAGCACTCTGTGTGATGTGTCAGCAGGTGAACTTCACTTAATTGCTAATGAATTCAAATACCCTTTACAGATTCGTAGGCCACCCAGGAAAATACAATAAACTCTTTGAGCGATGGAGACTGGAGGAAGTAAGTAACCCCATGAGAGTGGGTGTGTGGATGGATATGGATACAGGCCAGTGACTGTGGGAGGTAATGGGCTGAGGAGGGAAGATGTCCAAGAGAGTTAGAGGAAAACGTTGGAAGAGATTTTTGTGTTCCAAATGATAGCAGCTACATTTATATTAAAAAGAATGATGCTTTTAAAATTAAGCACCAATATTCTGGCCTTTTCCCTTATTACTTTTTAAAATCATGTTTGCTTGTTTCTTTTCTGTTTATAAGCTCCAAGAATATAATTCCATTAAGTTTACTCATTTTGGAAAGTATTACCATCTATTGAGTGAATTTCCAGATGTAAATATGTTAGGTTTCCTTTGATGAAATGAAAATTCAGTCTAAAAAGAAAACATGAAATAGCCATTTATAAGCATGTGTACACAGATGCTAAAAGTCCACATTTCTTTGTTAATTTACAATACATATAACCTAGAGAAACAAGATGAAGCGGTAGGTTCACTGCACCTCACGGGTCTTCACTGAGGCTGGGAAATGGTCCTTCAGCATTTCCTGCAGTATAGAGTCTCTTTATCACACTTTGGCAAACATAAGCATTTGAAAAGATTCTACCTTGTGAAGGGATGTTGCCCTTTGATTTTGGTTCCTTCGGTGGCAAGGGAATTGAAAACTAATATTTTTTTTTGTCTATAGTTATATTTTCCTGTGTGTGCTCTTCCTGTCCACTTTTATAATATTCTTCTTTTGCTTATTAATGCATAAACAAATACAATTTGAATCTCATATCACAGATTTTCTCAATAATTCTCTTTTAGTTTTTTCCTTAATGGCTTATTTTAGAAAAAAAATAGTTACCATTTATCTAATGAAAATGAGAGATTGTTTTGTTCTTGTTGTTGGCTCTTTTTTTGTTTGTTTGTTTGTTTGTTTGTTTGATTTAATGAAAGAGTCTCATGTAGCCCATAATGCTTTGAACTAGTTATGTACCTGATGAAGACCTAGAATTCTGGCCCTCTTGCCTCTGCGCCCCAAGTGATGGGATCATACTAGTGAACCATTATGCCTAGCTTAATTGACACTTTCCTTATTAGATTTATTGATATTATACTACAAAATTTGTTCTTAATTCTAGGAATATAAGAAAAACCCAATTTTATTAGTTATTTTCTTTTTTATATCTTTTTAATCTTAAAACAATATATTCTTATCTTACATACCAGTCCCAGTTCCCACCCACCTCCTACTCTCTCCACCTTCCACCCACCCTACCCCACTCCCCATCCACTCCTCAAAGAGGGTAAGACTTCCCTTGGAGAGTCAAGGAAGTCTGACATATCACTTTGAGGAGGACCAAGGCCCTGACCCCTATATCTAGGCTGAGCAAGTTATCCCTCCAAAGAGAATGGGCTCCAAAAAGCCAGTTTAAGTACTGGGATAAATCCTGGTCCCCTGAATTAATGTTATTTTCTAATATGGTGATAATTTACAGATTAAAATCATACTTTTACATAAAGAATGATCACATATTTTTCTACCAAATAGAGGCTGCATATTTAAGAGCAAATGTAGGCTCTAGGTTTGCTGAAGCCTATATTTATAATTGTGTCTTAGTCTGGTCTCTGTTCTCCTGATCAGAATTTTGTTCCTTCTCTCAAACAAAATGACTTTCATGATTGCATTATAAAAATCCAATGAATAGATGGTGTCTTCAGTATGGGGTTGTAATATAGAAAGAGTTAAGGAAAGATTACAAAAGAAAAATGAAGGGAGAAATAGTTTCAGTCTCTCTCTAAAGAACAAAAACAAACAAAACAAAAACTCTCCACTCTCCTCAAACTCACAGGGAGGACCCATTTATGTTCTTTTCAGACTGTTCTAGAAAATAAATGTCTGTGTACATGAATGAAGCCTAAAACTTCCTCAGAATACATGCTTTACAATAAAAAAGAAAAGAAAAAAGCTGAGCTTAAATGTTAATTACCCTTGTAATTAACTCATCATTCACGACTATCTGTTTCTCCATGCTAAATTGGCAGTAGTAATAATTATACTGCCAAGTTATTTATAGATAAGAGTTAATTTAAAAAACTCAATAATCACAACCCTAGACTATGGGAAGATTGTCACAAATTATTGCTAAATTTATCACTGTTAGAATTCTATAGCTATAGTTGTATAGCTGAGTGTCATGATACATTCCTATAGGCCCAACACTTGAGAAGCTAAAAAATTGAGAGGACAAATTGGAGGCAAACACTGAGTGTATAATGAACCTAAACCTACATAGATTTTTACAAAGTAAGACTTGGGGGTGTAAAGTAGAGGGAAACACTATGACCATTTATAATCCTGAGATTGCCTGGAAGTCTCAATTTTATTTTCAATTTTATTTATTACTTTTATCCATATATCTGTTAATTTATTTTTGTTGTTGTTTATGGCCAGGATTATGCCCACATCCAACAAAAGCCTGGTCACCCTGGTCATCCACTTAGTAACTTAAGGCTTACTTCTATCAAAAGGGCTTGATTGGATTAGTTAGGAAACCTAAGGTAAGAACAGAGTGATTGTAGCCACATAGATTATAGCACTTGTAGGAGCTATCACTCCCATTAATATTGTTCAAATGTATATTATATCTTAATTATGAAATTGTGGAAAATTCTGATTAAGCCTTGAAAACTCCAGAAAAATAATTATAATACTAGCATCAGAAAAATGTCTCATAATTCTCCTACAAATTTTCTATTATAGATGAGATATGTGGTGACTATATTTACTCACGAAGGACTGTATGTTCTAGGCAAAAATAAAATTAGCATTGTAATTTATGACACACCTTAGAAATCTCCAATTATGAAGAAACTATGAAAATTAAGGATAAGTATCGACTCTGCAATCCTTCATAGAAGAAGCACGTACGCGCACAGACAGGCTCTACAGCAGGCCTCTGATGGAGACTCTTAAAGGACAGTATCATTGATATATTTGATTGCATTAAAGATCATAAAGAAGAGGATATAATCATAAATGAACAAATGTTTTGTTCTAGGGTTCATAATAGTCTCTGTGCTACAATTTCCCATCCAGAGGAAGATCTTACCTGTTAATCTCAGCTCCTTTATTTTGAACTTGTAACAGGAAGAAGTAGCACAGTATTCTCATTTGTGAAATTTAAATTAAATTTAATTATGTATTTCAAATAAGAGGCACAATTGATAGGAATCAGTATAATGAATGAAAAAATAATACAATTTGTCAGGACTTTTATGAAGTGGCTATGTTAGATTTTTGACCCTCACTATAGTTATGTGATACCTCACAAAAACATCACATAAATTTATTATCAAATTTTTCTAAATTACTGACATTTATCAAGCACTTACTAGGTGTTGGACTATTCTAGCATTTGTTACTGAGTTCTCTTTTTATACAATTGCATTAAATCCTCATAACAATGTTATTATTATATTAATTTTATAGATAAGAGAACAAAAAAACAGAAGTTTTATAATTTGCAAAAAGTCACAAAGCTGATGAGACTATGATTCAAATAAAATCAGCATACCTTCAAAGTCTTGCCTTGGACGATACTTCCAGTCACTATTGGAATGGAATGTGAGAATAGCCATGGGCATGCATTTTGCTGAGATGACCAATTACTGGCTCATAGAGTGAGTTGTCTTTAGAGTAAATGTTCTAAAGTAGGTGAAGTGAGGGATCATGAAGTCTGACAGTCCTGTCTAGTCCCAGCTTCCTCTAAGTAGGTATAGTGACTAATGGACACTCAGACTTCTTCGTACTACACATATTCTCACCAAGAATGTGAAAATAGATGAAATCACTGAACTTTGCTTTTACACAACATCCATGACCATTTATATACATCTCAATTATGAGATGTTTTAGCAAATGAAGTTTAGAGTATTTAATGACTGTCTTTAGCTCAAGACCATCACTATGAGAATTTAACAAACTAACAAGACCCAATGTTCCTTATTGTTCTCTTTAAGAAAGATAAAGAGACTTATAAATTACAAATTCTTCCAGGCTCAATTTTGACAAATTTGTTGTTGATTTGCCTTTTAACTTTGACCTTTACAGGAAAGATTCCATCATATATCTCTCATTGTTTTCTTTCTCCTATACATTTATAAAAGTGCATGTGATCCAAGCCTGCTCTCCAAGGCAACTGACATATTTAGTAACTAGAATTATCCTTAGAGTGATGCATTTTGCAAAGGAAACCAGTGTATTCTTTTCTCAGACTCCAAGCAAGTCGCCACCAAGACTCTCTGCACAAATAAAGAACCATCTTGTTGATCTGTGATTGTTCCATCTCTTAGTGTTTCAGCTTCACACATTCTACAGAACACACTTATGGTATAAAGTGAAGAAGAAGTCAGGGGCCATATTTCATGCTAGTAGTAAAAGGTGACCTAGGATAACCAAATCTGGACCCTGCTGTGCCATGAGTATGGCCATGGGCAAACCTACTCTGGCTCAGATTGTTGAGCTACTGGGCTGGAACGGAAAACTCAGGCTCTTTTATGTCTTAATTATTCATTCCTTTTGAAGTCCCACTAGTACCAATTTGACAGAAATAGAAACTATGATCAAAGTCATAGGGACACTCATCCTTACAAACAGGACATGATCCAATTTCTAAAGATCCAGACCCACATTTTCCACCCAAATTGCTTTTATAGTGCAGTTTCAAGCAGCACATATTCACTTAAGTGACATTTTTGTGTGCTTGTGTGTGTGTTTTGTGTATGTTTAACACCAACTTATTGAAAATCTAAACAACAAAAACTTAGCACAGAGAAAAAAAAGATCTTCATAAAAACCCAGATAAGAAGAACTTCATGGTCCAGTAATTTTCAAAACTTCTTGAAGTTATAAAAATGCTCTCTGAAAGAGAAAATGGGGACACATGAAAGCCATACAATGCAGTATGCATGTTGTTTTGTTCAACAGTCTTGGAGGGGAGGAATAAAACAACAATCATGACTGCAGGTTATTGAATTGCAGCTCACTGTTGTTAGTTTCTTAGCTTTGAGCTCAATGGGAACTTACTAAAATGTCTGATTTTTTTTCAGAAAATCTAAAATTATTTAAAAATGGAAAGAGCCTAGAAACAAAATCATAAACACCGTATCAGACTATCTTTCTAATACATATTATTTATGGATGTAGAACATTTGTTTACATTCGTTATATGTGATCATGATTGACAGTGGGAGACAAAGTACTCACTAAAAGCTTACCCAAATTTCACCATAATTACTAACACTGTCATTGTACCTGCTTCCTTTTTTTTTTACATGAGAAAATGGGACCCAGATGTAAAGTTTACTTTGCAATTTAAAATTGGAGGTATTTAAACCAGCTTGGGATGCAGGGGAAGAAGCAGAACCCTTATGGCTCTCACTGTTCTATTTTAGTGTCATCCTAGTGGCTGCCTGATAGACCTCTGCCTCCAGATGGGAGTCATCATGTTTTTGAAGCAAATATGGAACAACTTCATGGAGCTGGGATATCCGTGAGCATGCTATCTTTAGACATGTCTTATATATAGTTATAATTCAGGGTTCATGAGCAGTGGGATGATCGGTCAGCTCCCACTCTGCTCCTTGCTAAATGTGTGATTGCCTGTAAGTTTAGGCTTTCTGAGTCTCAAAATTTTCATATCTTTGAGAAAAGATAAATAGTGTGATGAACTTCAGGACCAGCTGCTGGGATTAAAGGAACTAATGTACATAGAATACTAGTTCAGCTTGTTAACTATTTTTAAAACATTAGTAAGACAGAAATTTTGAAAATACAAACAATTTTCTGGTGTCTTTGACTTACCAACAGATATAAAGTGATGGCATTAATGTTAAAAAAAATAGTTTACTTTCCTTCCAAAATGGTACGTTCAAGCAAAAAATTGTTGGACAGAACAATGTTTGACAGTCCTTTTATGATGCCTTCCTCATCTCTCCTCTATAAAAAAAATTCATTAGAAGCAATGTTATGTGATAATATCCTGTGAGGACATTTTCATATGATGGGGAAATTGATTAACTGATTGGGTATATAAATAGATTTATGTATAAATTAATGAAATAAACAGGGTCACTCATCAAATTTTACTTTCATTCTTTTATTCATGTCTTCCTATAAATGACATTTCTGACCTAGTAGTGGAGAAATCATATTAACACAGCAGCATGCTGAGTATTGGTGGTTAAACATTGGGGAGATTTAGTACATGGACTCAGAGCTTTCTATTTTTGGTCTGAATTCTTTCTCTGTTCCTTGCTAATTTTATTTTAGAGTTTAAGTCAGTAGAGTTTATGAGGTTCTTTTTCTTTGACTTGTGAAAGAAGAGATTTGCAAAGACTAAATAAAATGACCCAATATAATTTTAATAACAAAATACTTTGAAAGAGTTTATATTATATAGAAATGATATATATATATATACATATATATAACATGTATTTATATATATTACATATGATTTCTATATGATATATGTATACATATAGGTTATATAACAGATTCAATGAAATCTCTTTTAAATAAAGCTTATATGAAGATAGATGGGCTAGAGTCACTCACACATTTCTTCTCCTTTGCTTATCACTTTAAAATGTATGGAATGAACCAGGAGGTGGTGGCACATGACTTTAATCCCAGCACTTGGGAGGCAGGGGCAGGAAGATCTCTATGAGCTCAAGGCCAGCCTGGTCTACAGAGTCAGTTCCAGGACAGCCAAGGCTACACAGAGAAACACTGTCTCAAAAAAAAAATGTATTGGATGGGAGGTATAGGAACTTGACATCAAATGTGTGGCATAAGAGTGTGTCTGCCGTGAGCACTTCCGAAGTCCCAGCAGGGGAGAATTGCAGCCAGCCTTTATAGAATGATAAGGGTCCTTTGCATTGCCATCATATGTGGTCCACTGTTTTCATTGTTCATGTCTGATACTCATTTAAACCATGATCTTACTCAGATAATAAGCCTGGATCATGCATGCTAAAAACTGGGGGAAAGTAACAAGAGGTATTTCACATGTGTTTTCAAAAAAATTTATGCAAAGGTCTTGTAAGGTGAAAACTTAGCAGGACTAAATGGATCACCAAAGCAGTGGCTTTCAAATTTTAAACCACAATTCTCCAATCAATTAAAATCTTAAGAAAAATCAATGAAAATAAAGTTCAAATAAGCAGAGCTGTGTCAGTTCTAACCTGCCTCCCTGTTAGCATCTTTGTGAGATTCCAAGAGTGACCTCCATAGGATGTTGGCTAGAGAACTGTAAGGTATACGGTTTTTCCTCCTGCTGCCTGGTCTGGTCCTGCCACCACACAAGCCCCAAATAACATGCTGAGACTCTGTATTTGGTATAATTCTGTTGGCCAGGTACTAGTTTCTTATCGGATAGTTCTGTCTTAAGTATTAACCCATTTCTGCTGATCTATGTATTTCTCTTACCAGGGGAGCCGGCCAGCATACTGCTTTCTCCAGACTCTCCATCTTGGCTTTCATTACTACTTCCCCTTTCCTCCTTGTCTCCTAGTCCCTCATAGCTAGCTTTCCTATTGGCCAACAGTGCTTTATTCATTAACTAGTATGATAAACATATACAGAATGACATCTCCCATCATCTCCCCTTTTTTGTCTAAAATAAAAAGGGTTTTAACCTTAACATAGCAGAATATATCAAATAACAGTTATCAAATAAGAATCACAGTTAACACTATTTAGTCCATTAACATTTCACAAGATTTGAAGAAAATATTCCATCATCTATCCTATCTTTGTGTGTCTAAATCTATGTAACTTATTTTTAATACTAAGGAAAACTATAACCATAACTATCTGTCTTCAACTCCTTCAAAGACCACAGAAGGATAGTCTATAAACTCTAGAAATGACAGAGACAACTCACTTTGTCAGTCACCTGAAGTTGTTTTGTAATCTTCCATCTTCAGCCCATAGGCCATAGTGTGTCTGGCAGACTCTTCAGCAAAGCAGGAAACTTTAAACTGTCTTCTTGTATTGGCAGTTTGTCAGTCATTTTTCTCTGTGTCCTGCAGACTGTCTGGCAGACTCTTCCATGAAGCAGGAACGCTGTAGCAATGTCCATCTTGAATCAGCACTCACTTTTTTGTGGGTCCTGCATGTCCAGTTTATACGGCATAAAATCAAACAGTCCAGACAAGAGCAGTATCTTGTCCAAATGGCTAGTCTTGACATATTGGAAGTAAATTCCATAACACATTTCTTCAATGTCCATCTTCATCTTCCTTTCTGACTCAAGTGGTGTTACCATGAGCATTTATGTCTCATTGTCACGAAAACCCTAAACCATTTTAAATGCCATATACTATAGGTCTTTGAAAGGTTTGAAGAAGTCCTATATATTTTAAATACATCTCTGTGTATCATGAAAAACTAACTAACTTAATTCTAAGCTTTGACTATCATAGGCAATTATCTATAATCTGTATTAAAGTATACATTACATTTCTAAATGAGCTATAAAAACACAATACCTAAATAAGAGAAATATACATATCATAAAATTGACCTTAAATTGTATCAGTAAATGAAAATCCATTCCAAAACAAAGTATCCATTTCTATACTATAATCCCCCTTTTACCTTTAAAAAGAATTGGCTGTGATCATTACCCATTTATAACCAACCCCATTTAAATAAAAACAAACATTTATAACAATATTTGGGAATTTGGGCGTCGTTCTTTCCAAACTACTTCCTGCTGGTAAAGGGCGCTGTCATGGGGGAATCCTAAGAAGACGCAGAAATCCTGCAAGGCTGCTTTGTCCAAGCTGTTATGAATGTTGGATCACCAGGAACGCTGTTTCAGGGGGTCTGGCTTGCTCAAACCACATTAGTCCGGAAGGAATCCACAGCTTTTTATTTTCTGTGGAAACAAAAATAGAAATCCTTTTCCCCAGTAACTTGTCCTTAGACTTAAATTTTGGAGTCAAAGCATTTTAAAATATATAAATTGAATTAACTCAGCAGCATTTGTTTTAACAGTTGTTTCCTCAGCAGTCAAACAATACAAAGACAATATAATACCATACAGTAACCAGATTCTCTCTGAGCTTTTTGTCTTTATTTGGCTTTATTATTACTCTGTTTCTTTTACTTTTTATTTTTTATTTTTTGAGACAGGTTTTTTCTGTGTAACTCTTATCTGTCCTAGAATTCACTCTGCATACCAAGTTTACTTTGAAATCACAGAGATCTGCTTGCCTCTGTCTCCCAAGTGCTGGGATTAAAGTTGTGTGCCACCACACCCAGTTCCTCTTTGTCTCTTTAAAACCATTTTATTTTTTTTAATGTATATGTATATTTTAAAACACATTGTAAAACTTTAGAGGTTTTTTTTTTAATATGAATCTGTCGTTACTGTAAATCTTTATCTTTTTCTGGCCACAAGTCTTTTATCTGGTAAACAACAACATTGGTAAAATGAAAGTCTTTGTTGTTTCTGCCACGGTCTATCCAATATGGCAGCGGCTATTTTCCTGGCAGCAGTGAGAGCTGTGGTCATTGCCTTGGTCTACAGGCAGCAAGCAGCAGGTTGCCAGCTTGGAGATGTGGTCATTGCCATTGCCAGCTCTGATACATACCAATAAATTGTTAGCAGTGCTTTTTTAAAGCCTTGCAGTTTTTTGCCACTTATGGTGAGTCAGGAAATTTTCCTTAAAGGAGCCATGCAAACATCTGCTTGTCTCTCAGAAGTCAGAGTCCAAACGAGAAAAATCCTATTACCAAGAAACCTTGATTGTCTTTGTTCTTTTGTTTCTAAACCCCTTTTTTAAGCTTTTGTTAAATTTTAAGTGAAAGTTTTAGCCACGTGGGTGCCATTTGTAAGGTGTACGGTTTTTCCTCCTGCTGCCTGGTCTGGTCCCGCTGCCCCGCCAGCCCCAAATAACACGCTGAGACTCTGTATTTGGTATAATTCTGTTGGCCAGGTACGAGTTTCTTATCAGCTAGCTCTGTCTTAAGTATTAACCCATTTCTGCCGATCTATGTATTTCTCTTACCCGGGAGCCGGCCAGCATACTGCTTTCTCCAGACTCTCCATCTTGGCTTTCATTACTACTTCCCCTTTCCTCCTTGTCTCCTAGTCCCTCCTATCTAGCTTTCCTATTGGCCAACAGTGCTTTATTCATTAACCAGTATGAGAAACATATACAGAATGACATCTCCCATCAGAGAACTGCTTTTTCCAGGAGATTCTGAATCTCCAGTTACTTAAAATTGAGCTTTAGTTACTATTCATTGAGCTATGAAAACTTATGACATCCTAGAGTATCTTCTCAAAGTCTTAAGAATTTTGTTACCCAAAAGCCCTTCTCATTGCCTCCCAGGATATTTTTAGACTTCATAGTATCATGACCATTCCCAGGCCAGAGGCAGAGTATTTTCACTTATTTTCCAGACCTCAGGCAATGGCTCATGTAAGCATATCCACTGCCTGACAACTTTACTTAACTTTAGTAGCAAAGTATTGTTATTAATGTTCAAGCTTGATAAACTCAAAGAAGTTGTGATTTAATAAAAATCCCACATGCAATGCATGGCAGGATGGAGACCAGAACCTAGGACTCTTGAAACTTTGTTTGCCTGATATTTATTGCAGAGCATAATTATATTTATATCCATATGAACAGCCCAAAAACTGATGGAGTATGAGCAATGAAGGGCTCAGACCTAAAGACAACAGTCAACATAGGATTTTTTACAGGTGGAGTTGGGAGAAATGAATTTACCTTAATCAGTATCAAGAAATGGCTAAGTTTCACGGCAATGAATTCCATATAAATATCCAGATATTTGCAGAGTCTTAGAGAGTTACAAATGATAAGATCTAGAGGATCTAGTAACTGTCACTAAATCTTCTTAACACTATACTTTAAAGATTTACAACCTTTTAAAGTTCAGACTTAATTTTCACTTATTGAAAATTTAAAACCATGACTATCTTCACTTCCAAGAATACATGATGTTACAAAAGATTAGTCTAAATTTGTTATTTCTTAGGAAAATATACATTTTCCACAGCTGCTTCAGTAACAGGTCACACATCTTTGGTCTGCTCTCTGATGCAGGTTAATCCAAAACTGGTGGTCACGACATAAAATCAAGAGAGGAATACAAGATGCTTCCATACCACAATGGGAAAATGACTGGAATCTTCAGCCCATGAACATTCACGGACTAATGGACGAGTACTTAGAAATGGGTAAGGAGAGGCTTTTCTGCAGGACCATTTGGCATCTTGGATATTGCTTTTTCTACTTTACATGAACTTCAGTTTAAGAGAAAAACAGCAATAATGACAATATTCTCCTTTTGCACTGATTATTCTTAAATACAAGTGAATTTTTGGTTGTGAGACTAGCCTTCATGGTTGAGTTATTCATTCCTCCAGTGCATTACAAGTGAATTTTATCCTAGCAAAATCAAAGCTGCGAGACACTTCCTGTATGCTCTCACATACTCTACAGTCAGGAAGCCATGACATTTAGTCAGAATGAAGTTGTTTTCACAATGAAGCATCCGGCTTTTGAGCAACATTCTTTTTTAGTTAAAGTCTCACTGTGCAGTTAATACTGATCTTAAACTTGATGAATAACTCAGGCTAGCCTTGAAATCACAATTGTCCTGTCTTGGTATCCTTCCTCAGTGCTAGAATTATAAGCATGCATTGCCATGCCAGGCTAGTGAACAAATATCTTGATGAAAAATAAAAAAGCTGGATCAGCTTATTATTAAGAAAAATACTATCCTCCTCAAAGAAAGTCAATGTTATTTTTAAATAACATTTTTATTAATTCCTTAATATTTCATTAAATATATTTGGCCATATTTACCCCCCTTCCCCAAACTCTTCCCATATCCATCCTTTCCATACTCTCAAAGTCAGTCTGAGTTTCTGTAGGAATGTTGCTAATTTATATTAAGAAAATTAGGATTCCCAGTCCAATTGTTTCCTTGTTTTCTGACCTTCAGTATCCTCGTCTATAAAAAGAGAAGCCAGGGCAGTATATTGGAGATCTTTTAGTTCCCTGCCAGAACCTTAAGGAAAATTCTCTTCTTTGCCTGTCTTTGTAATAGTTTTTTTCCTCCCCTCTACCCTCCCCTTCCCCTTTTATATCTTTTCCCTTTCTGTTTAATTCCTTCCCCGTTCTTCTCATATTGTTTAGGGGCAGGGGGAGAAAGCAGATGTTAAATATACCCATATCTGAGATACAGCAGGAGTTTTTTTAAATTTTCTAGCCATCTTGTCTATAACAAATTTACTTATCTCATAGGAACAGTTTCTTCAACTGTAAAAATAAGAGTATTTACTGGGTAGAGGTATTATTAAAGGTAATTCATCTAATGTAGATTTTATTATGTATATTCATAACTCCCTAATGTTCTGTCTTACAGTTTTGCAATTTGGTTTTACCACCATCTTTGTTGCTGCTTTTCCTCTGGCCCCTCTTTTGGCTTTGTTAAACAATATCATTGAAATCAGATTGGATGCATATAAATTTGTAACCCAGTGGAGGAGGCCTCTGCCAGCCCGAGCAACTGACATTGGTAAGGCTCAATTTTTCTTTTTTGAGATAGTATATGCAACATATCTAATATCTGGAGTATGAGATACATAATATAAAACCAATGAGGGGTTGAAGATGTGGCTCATCTGTTAAGAGCAATCATTGCTGTTCCCAGGAACCAGAGTTTAGGGCTCATCATGAACACTGGGTGGCTCACATGGCAATCTGATGCTCTCTTCTGCTCTCTGCAGGTATAGAAATACGTGAACACACACACACACACACACACATACACACACACACATACACACACACACACACAGTAATATAATATAACCCTTTTTGCTTAAAAGAAGTAAATGGTGCACAGAAATGTGGCTCAAAACAAACAGAATATTCTTGATAAAATAAAATAAATCAGAGTTCTTTCATCTTTTTCACTTACATTCACTAACTTTAACCTTTCTCCTACCAGGTATCTGGCTTGGAATTCTCGAGGGAATTGGCATATTGGCTGTGATCACCAATGCTTTTGTAATCGCTATTACATCTGACTATATCCCACGTTTTGTCTACGAATACAAATATGGCCCTTGTGCAAACCATGTAAAGCATAATGAGAAGTAAGGTTAAAATTTACATATTTTTCTGATCTACTTTATAGTTGCAATTAAAGGGAGAACTTACAGGGAAGTTTTTTCTGTGGCCATTAAAAAGTAATGTTTCTGGTCATTGTATTTATAAAGTGTTTATTAAATGAATGCAAATGGGACTAAGAACAGAACGTGCTTTCTACAGCAAGCAACTAATTTTAGAGACCCTTTTTCCTTGAAAATGTGTCAAAATGCTAAGAACATTCTAATACTTCTAGAAAGGTCCAGTTCTAAAGCGTGAACAGACTCTTTGAAATCTTCAAACTAGACAATGCAGTGTTGTTGCCATGCAGATGGGAAAGTGAAGCTCATAAAAAGGGGGACAAAGACAGTAAAAAGTGAGAAACAGAACCTGCAGAGTCTGTCATCTTTGCGTCTGGAAATTTGCAGGAAGCATACAGAGCCAGGGGTCTGACTGATGCAGAATCACCTCCCTTTATGTGGTTAGTATGTGTTTTTCATTCCAAATTGAAATACACACTTCAAAGTAGGGTAGCCTATCAACCTTTGCAATACTTACCTTTTTGGTTCGGTTCGGTTTGGTTTGGTTTGGATTGGTTATTGATACTTTAATTCAAACAATTCTTTTAAGTCAGAAAGAGGGCTGTTTTGCTCACTGTGTGATGATTAGAAGCACATGTGGTCTCTAACCAGCTGATACAGTGACAGATACCCTAATTCATACATTCTGATACTAGTAGGTATCTTTAGACTTTGCCTGCTGTCCTCTGGGAGACAAAATAACCAGATAGAGACAACTACATCAGGAAGTATTTGTTATTTCACAATTGTCCTTTGAATTAGATATGGGAGGGCAATGCATGTGAAAACTGACTAAAGAGAACTGGGCCACCTTAAAAAGCTTTGTGAGTGGATTTCGGCCTTAGACGTAAATTCTATAAGAAAAGGCAGAAGAGTGAGAGCAGCAATAGCTGTGGATAGAGATCATGGGCCAAAACATGAGGAGCCTTGCTTTTGGGTGGCATTGCCCTTTAACTAACTATTGGAGAACTTGTACTTACCCAGAACACTGGGAAAGGTCTCTTCTTTCTTAAAGGAGTGGTAATAGAAGCAATGGAATGGTGATTTTTGTTCGAGTCCTTAAGAGACTTAAAGGGATCCCATGTTGGGCACCTTAAATTTGATTGGATTTACATCTTATGACATGGTTAATTCATAATAATGAGTGTTCATGGGCTCTACGATTATGAAATGGTATCTGAGAATGCACACCATGTGAATATAAGGTCGTCTCAACATCAATAGTGAAAAACTAGAATGCTGCCTTTTTGCTAATGCAAAGCTTCTAGGAGCAGATTTAATGAATTTGAAAAGTATAATTGGCTAAGATCAACTGTGAAACACGAAGAATTGCTGTCTGGTAGCCTTACATAAATTACTTGCTAGTAACTCTGTTGCCACCTAGTGGTTGTTGAAAATTCTACTGGCTGAGTTTACATTTCAGAACCTGCCTTTCCAGTGGACAGTCCATATTCAGGGACAAGTTTCAGGTGTATACCATTGTCAGTCACAGTGATGTAGTTCTTCTGTGAATCAGACATCATATATCAAGAAGGACATTCAATTCCTTAATTATCTTCTAAGTATACATAGCAATGAGGTTGAAAAATCTATTCAGATTAGAAATTTTCGGTGTAAGTCATGAAGAGACAGACAATATTGAAGAGGAAAATATTGACCAGAAAACATTCGACGGATATTATAAGCCATAGAATGGACAAGGAATACAATTACCATTGTTGCATTGTGACTAATATTTCAAAGGTGAGATTATAATAGATATGTCTTTGAACTCAGATTTAAAAAGAAACTTTTCCCTAGATATGTGATCTGCAAGCATCCTTCAATGTCTATAATTTTTACACCATATTAAAATTATTTATTACATTATTTATAATACTAGTATTATATAATATTATTTGTTAGTGTATTTGTTTATATTTACCTATTGTGCTATGAGGGTGCATTGTGTAAGTTAGAAGACATTTGGGGCATTTTATTTTCAACACATAGGTTGAAGGCATACAACTCAGGTCCTTAGGCTTCATAACAAGAAGTATGACCTGCTAAGCCATCTCACCAGCCCATATTAACAGTGTGTTCACAATAACACTAAGACTTTATTTTTCCCTTTCAATTTTTACATTTAGATTAATGGCTCAAAAACAATGATAATAATAGTTCAGGATGACTCCTGAACAAAAAACACCCCTTAAAAGTAAACTGAATAAAAAATCAATAGGAAAAGTATAAGGAAGAAATGACAAAGACATGAGACAAAAATAAGAAATCTCAATATTTAAAATAGGAGGAATAATGGCTTTTTTAACATCCCGCCACTTGTAAAGAAGAAATTATTCCATAAATTTATGAATTTGTGATTCATATAGTCCTGTTATTTTCTCCTAGTTGCCTCAAGGGATACGTCAACAACAGCTTATCCTTCTTTAACCTGAGTGAGCTTGGTATGGGAAAATCTGGCTACTGCAGGTACTTACCTATAACGTATTAATCTTTTCTGCTGCTTTTGCCATGTTATCTCCTCTCCTCTATATGTAAAACAGCTCATTTGGCCTATCATTTTGGAGTTTTGGTAATCAAGGACGTTTCAGTATCTTTCACGCTTTCTGTTTTTGTGGCTTGCAGGTACCGAGACTATAGAGGCCCACCTTGGAGTTCCAAGCCCTATGAGTTCACATTACAGTACTGGCACATCTTGGCTGCTCGATTGGCCTTCATTATTGTGTTTGAGGTTAGTCATGGGACAGGCAACTGTGGATAACAGCTTTGCTGATTCATATATTAGTTTGATGTCAATTCTTCACTGAGTCCTAAGAAAGGCCTTTGGTAGGCCTGGGAAAAGGCTTGAATAAGGTAAACCCATTATAAAGAGAAAATGAATGAGCAAGATTGAATAATGTAACCACAAGTTAATAGGTATTTCTACAACAAAATCAAGGAGAAAGATATTTTCTCATAAAATTGCGAGGCTCCTAGTTTTAAGCTCCTAGTGGCCATGATTAAAAAGAAATGGGTGGCTTTGTTGAGCAGATAAATGAATCCACATCTCTCATGAGGATAGAACACTCAACCTATGAAGATAGAACATTTCTGATTAATTAAGTCAAAATACAGTCAATCACACATATATATTTTTAAAAAAACATTAGGTAACTCTGTATTTTGCCTAAAACTTTTATTAAAAATCATTGGACTTTGATTTATCACAGACACGATAGCAATGAATTGTAGTTCTGTGAGGCAATTTTGATGGAACTGCATACAAACATTATCATCTGGTTTTTATAAATCATGATACAGGGAAGAATTGAGCACTGAGATGTAGTAAGCAACTCCTCTGAATTATCACTGAGTCAATGAAAGACTTAATATATTTTCTGTGGGCAAATCTAAATGTTTAGAACATTAACATTTATCCAGGGTTGGTCTTAAACTCCCAATCCTCTTGTCTGTGCCTCCCAAGCACTAGAATTATAAACACGAAATGCCACACCTGGTTCCTATGAATCTAGGGGTAGAACCCAGGGTTTTTTGAATGCTAGGCAAGCATTCTACCTACTACTGTTGGAATTGTTTTTAAAAAAACAAGCATTCATTCCAAGTGATTTCCAAATATAAGTTAAAAATTTGTAATGAAATAGCTGAAAATGTAACACTTGTCTCTAAAGGTTTTAGCCAGGACTAAAAGTTCTCTGATTGAATGACTCTCAGAATCAGTAAAAATGCATCATACTGAGTGAGACCTTCTACTTTATTGCAAGTAGTATAATAGCTTAACTTGTATTTCCAATCCAATATTACAATGAGATGTTTGTTATGATCTAGTTTTAAAATAGACGTATTTTCAATATTCCTCAGAACTCAGGTGAACAAAGTTAATCAGACAACCCAGAGTACCACTCATGGGTTCATGTGAGACTCTCTTCTTTTCCTTTCTTCATTCCTTATTACTGTTCCCATAACCCCCAATCAACTTCTGTGAAGCCTTTATACTTGTTGATTTTTAAGTAAGGTTGTTCATCTAGGTATAAAAATATAGTATCATTTTAGGTGTTATATTTTCCAAAACATAACTTCAATTATTTTGTATGTTAAAGCTTTTTTATCTTTTACTGACTTTACTTTAGATCTAGGAAGACTTGTCATCGATCACTCCCTGTGTTTAGAACACATCTGCCAATGTGAATTGTAATCTTAAAACATGAAATATATTTATTTTCATATATTAGACTACTAAATCATGGCAATGTTTTTATTTGTATTTTAATAATTTTGAAGAACATTATTAGATATTTTAAGTATCATATATTTATATGATCAGGAAAGAAAGTCCTGATTATACACGGAAAAACATGAACTATTTCATTGGTATCTACTTTGCAATGCAGTTTCTTGGTACTCATAAGCAAGTACAACTAAAAGTAAAGTGAATTCTTCCTTTTCTCATAAAGAGGTTATTGTCCAATGAAAGCCCTTTACATGAAGGTATTGTTTTAGCACACCATACCATCCCCACAAATATCACATTGTTCCCTCTCTTTTCCTAGAAGTGGTAAGAAGTACCATTCTCTTAGGATATGCATAACAGCAGGAAGTGCCATTTGAGCAAGGCTCATACTTTACTGAGCACTCTTTTAAGCTCTTCAAGTGCGTGTTTATTTAATTCATTTAAGAGGTAGCATTGTCATCACATAAACACAGAAGGTAGAAGATATGTCCAAGAGTAAACAGCTCCTAAGTGTTAGTAGGATAAAGGCCTAATTGGTCTCATTCCAATTCTGAGCCTTTACTTACAAGTATAATGCCTTTTGAATTACATTTAGTTGTTCAAGTCTAACACTAAGGCTGGGTGTGGTGGTGCACCTCTTTAATCCTAGCACATTTGGTACAGAAGCAGTCTGATTTCTATCAGTTTGTCAGTTTGTCTACAAAGAAAGTTCTATGCAAGGCTGACCAAGAATATATAGCAAAATTATTTCTCAATAAATAAATAAATAACACCACTACTGATAGTTTATTTTAAAACATAAATAATACATATTTTATCAAAGTTATGTAACAGATCAAATGTTTTGTAGTACTTATAGCAATAGTGAATTTATAGAATGGAATTTCTGAAACACAAATTTGTTGTGGTTGAGCCTAATTGCTGGCTCACAGGTTTAAGTAGCATGCATTTAGGCCTATTAAAAATACATTTTCCTAGAATAGCCTTTCATATTTATTTCTATTAATGTGTATTATAGTAATATTTTATAGTGTGTAAGAATTGTGAACATAAGAATATAAGATGCATTTTATTAAATATCATCATATAAACTGGAAACAATTTTTGATGTCTAACTAATGCTCCACAGTGGCAGTCATCAATATTTGTGTTCTCTGTCCTGAAAGTAATATTTATCTAAGTGCTACACATTAAATTCTGATGCTTAATTTTAAGGCAAATGCATCATAGTTCACGACTTTTCTGTTTGACAAGAAGTGTTCTGGAACCTTTGAAAACATAGTTTTTACTCTTAATTTACAGCACCTCGTTTTTGGGATTAAGTCATTCATTGCATACCTGATTCCAGATATACCAAAGGGCCTCCGTGAGCGTATACGGCGAGAGAAATACTTAGTCCAAGAAATGATGTATGAGGCTGAGCTGGAACATTTACAGCAACAGCGCAGAAAAAGTGGTCAGCCTATTCACCATGAATGGCCTTAGGCAGTACCTGTTACCCAAAAGGGGAGGTAACATTAATATGAAGGAATGTGACCCTTGAAATGTAGATGGCATCCATGAGGAAGACATATTTGGCCAACTATTTGTAAAAAAAGGCTACTTGGAAATACATCACAGCAGCCTCTGGCACTTAGAATGCTCTGACTTTTATAGAAAGAAAAGACTTGAGCCTCCAAGGGAATACAACTGAAACAGCAGGGAGCCAGGCTCTGATCTTAGAGCAAGCCCTCTGGGGGGGTGGTTCTGTGTTTTGAGTCCACCCAGCTCCATCAGGTGCAAAGCAAGTAGAAAATGTGGTGGTAATATTTCCAGAGACAAATTTCATGTAAATGTTCACAAGCTGATATTACTAATCAGATTCTAGGACTTTTGCTTGAATTCAGATGTTCACAAGAAATGAATTAAACCTGCCCTTGGCTCTTATGTCAGAGCTCCCTGTCCCATCAGCTTACAGGCTAGTGGAGTTGTTTTTATCTGGTTGAGATAATGGGTGTATGTGCATGGCATTTGTACTGCTTTATGTTGACCATGCACTTGAACAGTTGCACATCACATAGTAGCCAAACCAAAAATCCAAGTTTCAAAAAGTACATCTTTGGATTAATTCTATTATATTGGCCGTGTTTAAATTTGCTTAATCACCCAGAGCCAAGTGCAATGCCCATTTTTTTAAATGGATGCCAACAGATCAACTTTAAATATTTGAATGACTATTCTAACATCATTTAGACATGACTAAGCCTATCTTGTATTCTATTCCACATGCCTCTCTCTGAATTATTACAAATCTCACAGAACACTATGCTGAAACAATGTAAATATGTCAATGTTCCTTTACGTTTGCATTTTTACACTGTGTAATACAAGTTCCAGCTTATGGAGCTCTAAACCTGTTACACAGGATGCTACCGTATCTGTTCATTCAGGAAATCCAAGCCAAATGTTCTGTAGCACTTATGCTTATCCTAGAATGTGCACTATCAATTATGAGCTGATGAAATAATGCATGTATATAGGTTATTGTTCACATAAAATACCTTTATGAGTTTCACATTTTAATCATGGAATGGAGATCTGGGTTTTGGTTTTTGATGAGTTGATTTCATTTCATTTTAAAATTGTCTAGAAACAAAGTCAAACTAATTGTGAAGATCATAATTTCATTTGCTGTAGCATCCTTATTTGAATGTCAATTTTATCCACACACTAATGGAGCACAAATGAAGGGATATTCAATTAAAGGAAGTTGAGGAGGCATAAATTAAGGGGGCAGAATAGATGGAAAGGCAAGAGGTGGAGTAGATGGGTATATGGTTTAAAAAATATATTTTCCCATGCAATACAAGATGGTCCAGCCTTTTATGTTTCCTGAGAATAAGGTGGGAAATCACACAGAGAACACACACATACACATACACATACCTACATAAAGAGAAAACAATTTGTTCACTTTGGTTTTGTTCGATTAAGCAAAACAAACATTTACAAAATTGGAAATTAGTTTCACTTCCTGGAAGTGTGCTGTCCTAATTCTAACACTTAAAAATGCTTTGTTGGATTGATTATGGTTATTTTACAGTTCTGCCAAAAACATTCACTCCTATACTTTATGATTCTGGGCTAGGTATATTCCCTGGAACTCTAAATTCTTCCACAAGATCTGAGGATATAGCTCAGTGTAGTGTGTCTCTAGCATGCATGAGGTACACTTAGACTCAAATCACATCATCTTTCAGCAACAATAGATAGATAGATAGATAGATAGGTAGATAGATAGATAAATATGAGATATGTAGTAAATTTCTAAACAAATCCTTGTTCCTGGGACTGTTCTACTGAAAAATATAATGGTTAATTTCACTAATTATCCAATAAAGATTTCAGCTCCTCTATTTTAGACCATTTGTGCTCCCTTTTCTTTAATAATTAAATGTATACATGTGCCTGAGCATAATATTTTGTTTACCTAACATTTACATCTTTTCCAAATTAGGGATGCAAGACAGAAATATGTCTCACAGGAGGACAAATAATAATAGCTTTTTCCTTGAGAATTCTTTTTCTAGGATTTTCTATAGTCCATTTGGGGTTTAAGTCATATTGATTGATATGAACAGAGAAAGATATTTTAATAAATGGTATGTTATATTAATTTATAAAATGCCTTCCATGATATTTTTGAAACAGATATGAGAAAACAGAGAACCAAAAAAAAAATATTGTCTGAAATGTTTGCTTTGTAAAGGGTTGCAGGACAATCAAACTTGTTTTTATCATAACCGGCAGCAAAATAGACAGCTCCACACAGTATGTTAACTTTAGTTAACTCTACTTAAGCTGAGAGAAATGTTTTATATGTGTTTTTCATATGAATATAAATTATTTCTCAAAGATTTATAGCACACACTATTCTCAGGAATTCTGTATGATGTGAATGCTGCTCATATATTTTCATATTCTTACTTGTTATCTTTTTATGCTAATAATTAATGTGCATGCACTCGGCCTTGACAAGTTGTGTGAACCATTTTAAGTCTTAACTGTAACAGCTCCCAATTGTATGAGTCTGTGTAGGCACTTTTAGGTGAGAACTGCTGCCTGGCTGCATGATGAGATTCAACTTGAATGCTAAATGATTCTTGACACAATATACTACACAATGGAATGAATAGATAATTTTTTTCACTCAATAAATTATCATTTTTACTATAATCTACACATTACAGTTCATTCTGCTTCTTCTTTAAATGTTAAATTAGGATCTGATCTGTTGAATGTGTATGGGCTAGAAAGATTATACATTCTTTAGCCACTCAAAATAATAGTCTTGAGGAAACTTACCATATTCCGACTATCACTGTGCAAGCATGGATCATCAACAATTACATAAAAAGCCAAACATGGTAGAATATGTGTGACCCCAACTCTACCGAGGCAGAACTATGAGGATCTCAGGGTCCAGTCAATCACTCTCTTTTTCACCTATATTATGTTTTTCCCAATCACTATTAAAATCACCTAGGGCAAATAAATCTTCAAAAAATGGATTTGGAGAGATGGCTCAGCAGATAACAGCACTTGATACTCTTGCAGAGGGCCCTAAATTGGTTCCCAGCACTCATTTAATGATGTAACACCATCTGTAACTATAGATCCAGGAGATCCAGTTAACCTCTGGGGACATAAGGCACACACATGTGTTGTGCAAACATACATGTGTAAAAACTTATCATAATAAATAAATAATAAAACAACAATTAACATTCTTTTAAGGATGAAAAGCTTTATTTTAATCTATGGTTCCATGAGGATAGAATCTTCATGGCAACAAAGGCATAATGGAAAGCAAGATATTACAATTTTCATACACACACAGGAAGTATAGTGAGGGAACGGGAAATGCGTTGATACTATAAACCCTCAAACCCAACCCCAGAGACATTCTTTGTCCAGCAAGGTTCTACATCCTACATATTCTATAACTTCCACAAACTGGGCACTACCAACTGGGCACAATGAGTTCAAACACATGAACCTATGGGAAGCATTGCTCATTCAGACCACCAGAACATGCCAGACAGCTGTGACCATTTACATAATATTGCCCTCTAGAGTATTATATAGGGAGTGGCATGATTAGGAGGTATGGCTTTGTTCGAATGAGTATGGCCTTGTTGGAAGAAGTATGTCACTATGGGATTGGGCTTTGAGTTTTCCTATGCTCAGGCTATCACCCAGTATCTCAATTGACTTCCAGTTGCCTGCAAGATGTAATACTCTCAGCTCCAGCACCATGTCAGCTGCATGCCACCATGATCCCTGCTATGATGACAATGGACTGACTCCCTGATCTGTAAGCAAGCTACCTCAATTAAATGTTATCCATATAAGAGTTGCCATGGTCATGATATCTCCTCGCAGCAATACACACTCTAATATAATAGCTTAAAGGTGTAAGCCAAGAGGCTGAGTATTTGAACACTGTTCTGACAATGCATTGTGAAATTAACCAGCACAGTATCCCTGGGTTGGGATAGGAAATTAAGCACAAATACAGTGCAAGCCAAGGAAGGATACTCATATCTCATAGCAAAGAATCACCAACTTATCCATTTTGAGTTTTAAACTTGATAGTTAAACTTGAAAATTAGTGCTGCTTATTGAATAATTTAACTGATACAGGTGGATAGATTAATAGATCAAATGGGCAAGTTAAAAAAGAAAAGTCACCAGATATTTGTATCCATTTTCCCCTAAGTATTTGTCACAATTACTACCAAACAGCATTCTGGATTTTATAGAAGGAGTTAGTTAACATCTTATTTTACTGCTTCTATTTTTGGAACTCCAAGGAGAACATTTTGAGGAAACCAAAACTCTTGGTTTCATTTGGAAAGGTAAATGTTTTCCTATAAGCATTTCTATTCAAAGTGAAGTATGTCAAAATTACATAGACTAAAGGAAGGAATAATTCATCTTTAGCTTGAATTATTGATCAGCCAAAGTTCCTACTAATTTGGATTTTTATTTGTGTAGAGATGATAATTATCTTCCCATCAAGCTTGCCATCTTGGTTAATCTGGAAATTATGTTTGGGACTATATTTGATAGCTTTCTTCCTAAAGACCATCCCTATTTCATCCACAGTAGCTTCAAAAAAAAAAAACAGCAAAAGTTAAAACAGGTAGGTTGGTTGAAAATGTCTCCTAGTCAGGGCTAATCTAATGTCTAGCCAGAGAATAGAAGCCTAGTGGATTCCTAAACCTACTTACTGCATTGTAATGGGTGAGCTGTACATCTCTTCCTGATAAAGCTACTTCAGCATTTCTTTTTTTATTTTAAATATTTTCTACTTAAATTTGAAACAAGCTTGTTTTTCATGTCAATCTCAGTTCCCTCACCCACCTGTCCTCCCCTTTACCCCCACCAACCCTCATCTTATCCCTTTTATGCTCCCCAGGGAGGGTGAGGCCTTCCATGGGAGTCTTCAAAGTCTGTCATATCATTTGGGGCAGGGTCTAGGCTCTCCCTGTGTGTCTAGGCTGAGAGAGTATTCCTCTATGTGGAATGGGCTC